GCCCCTGCACCGTGCGAGCCCTCGGCAGAGCTGGCCTCTGGGCAATCACAGCCTCTTCACCAAAAGCGGTGAAGACACAATAAATTCAGCTCTGCCTGACAGCACATATCAGAACGTGTAAGCCCTGGATAACTGCACTGAGGATCTCAGCTCAGCCTGCAGCCCTGCAAGGGGGCTGTGCACATTGTGGGCTCTTTCGTTCCTCGCTAGTTTTGAACAGGGTCCATTTATTTCCCCCCCAGTCACGGCAGTGCCTCACACCACCAACCCGGGGGACTCGACTCTGCTGTCCAGTGAGCCTCCAGGGGTGAAGTCTACCCGACGTGGATGCTCATCAGAACGTCCTGCATTGCCCTTCACTCACCAAGCAGCAGCCGAGTCTCCGACACAGGACAGGGAAGATTTCTTTCTGAGGCACCTAAACCAGGGATGCTGTTTTGCAAACACTACCCCATGTCCCTTCCTTTGAGTGGGGGAAGGTGTGTGTGTGCGCGCATGCTTTGGCTGGTGAGGTCTGCTGAAGAGCTGCGTGTGCTTTCCAGGATTCATACATTGCCCAGACCCAGATCCTATGCTGGCTGTATTTTGGGCTCCTCTCACAGGTTTTTGGCACACCCACCTCTCTCTCCTTCTCCTTCAGCTCTGCCTCCGTCTCCTTGACTTTGTTAACAAACATTTGTCTCATTTCTTCCTCTTTCTTCTGGAGCTCGCCCAAGAACTCTTTCCTTTTGGTCTCGTATGTTTCTTGGAGGCTGGGGAAGAAAGCAAACGAAATCCAGACTCCCTGGACACCAACGAGCTAGGGATGGGGAAACGTATGCCTGTCTGCGTTGCTTAAAGACAAACAGGCAGGGAAGGGAACACCCAAGTCAGCTGCAAAGTTCAAACCCAGTGCTAGTATTTTCCAGCCCAGCACTGTAGATGTCACCTACAAACCTCCCATTTTTTTGGGGTGTCAGCACCAAACCATTGCTCTACATTGGTGCTAGATATGAAGGCCACTCACCTGAAGGGCTGGCTGTCTGGATCCGTGTCCTTGAAGCCCATCTCCTCCAGTTTGCACCTCCTGTACAGCTCATAGTGGCGGGTGTGGGTCTGCTCCCGAAGATCCTCCATGTTGACTCGAATCAGCATTTCCCGCAGTTTCACAAAGTCACAGTGGCTTTCATTCTCAACTGACGGAAGCAAAGGGAGAGGTCAGCAAACTGCACATACAGATTAACTCCAGAGACTCCCCTCCCACAGACTTCTTGTCCCGCACAGGGCACAACACAGCCCCTTGGATGCAGGGATTCCCCTACTGCTGGTAGGAACAGGAATTCAAAGGAAAGATTGGCCAACCCACGAAAGGCTGCACAGGACAGCCCTGCACCATTTGGCACAGGGCACCTTCACGCAGATGTGCCGGCAGGAGGGCAGAGCTGGAGAGGGTGCCAGCGTGTGCATGTGCATGCCGAAGGGAGGCTCGCGGTGGGTGCGCGGCTGGCGGTGCCTTACCTTGCACCACTCCCCACGGGTACTGCCGAGCTCTCACCAGCTTGTTCCCAACTTTCACCTCCTCCGTGCTGCCAACCACAGCGAAGGGCAGATGAGCCTGAAACAGAGCCAAGGCCAGGGATCCAGAGTGTGGGCTAACCTCTCGGAGATCAGCCTGACCATGAGATCCCCCTCACCCAGGCACACGACCTACTTCCAGAAGTCCTTCCTCTGAAGCCAATCTCCACTACTCAGGGCAGTCTCTACTATGAACCGGGATATTATGTCATATATATGACATAATATATATGACATAACCGGGATATATATGTCAACTGTATGAGGTTTAATTGTCAACTGTATGAGGTTTAATAAGGCCAA